ATAAATGCTAAATGATACAAATCGGGTATCGAATGATTTAGAAATTACGACGAGAATTATGCAACTTTTTAGATTTTTGTCAGCTCAACGTCTTCAAAAGGAGATAAATTCTCTTGGCATTCTGGCTTCCCATACTCATTTTTATTTGACACGCTTTATCTTCGCTCACTTATTGTACAAGTTTTGCCCAAAATAAACAAAAATTATTTGAAAGTAATAGCAAGTTTAATTTCCATGATCTTATATCTCAAAATCCATGGATTTGTTTGGATTATTTGCTTGAAATAAAAAGCCGCTATTAAAGCGTCTGGAAGTAAGGAAGAACTTCTGCTTATATGCTCCTTAAATCGATTTGAAAATATCGCGAAAAATCTAAATTCCTATTTGAAAGACAGTTTTAAATATAACGAATTTCCGTATTTTGAACTAGAACTTGAAAACATGCATAGGATCCTCCTATACTTTGTCCACTTATTAAAACTTAGCATCAACGATACGCTTTTGAAAGCAGATTTGGAGATGTCTCTAGAGCCGAAATTGTAAATTTTACTTCGAACCTTTAGGAAATCAGCAGTTTGAGCGCGTTTCAATCAGTTTGAACTAAGTTTCAAAGAAAATGGCACTATGTGTTATTTTACGAAAAATATTGTTTGCTTCATTTCTTTTGTCATTCATTCCTATTTGAAAATTCTGAAAAAATAACCGCCAGTTTTGCTTATTCAAAAGGTATGGGTGTTGTGGAGTTTATACTATGGCGCTTATCATTATTGGTAGTTTGCTATTCATTTTGGATAAAATCCGTTATAAGACTGACAAAATGAAGTTCTTATGCATTAATGTGTAAAACTTTTGTTGGGTTCTTGAAATTCTTTGTGGTAACTGCAGCCTGTCTCACCATACTCCGAGCTTGAGTCGACTGTAATATTAGACCTCTAAGTAATTTAAGTAATTTTAGTGGCAGAATAGCTTAATTTCTGTTTTAATTTTTTTAAAGTTGTAAGTTGTTTACAGCTGTGGTTATTATATTCTATGTTTTTTTCAATTTTACAAACTAACATGCGTCTACGGCAAGAAAGCTTAGCTAAAGTTTCATTATGCGGACACATCTTCATGGATTCTTATAAATGTAAAAATGCTTGAAGTTATTAATTTATTTTTTGTTTTGCTTTGTTTTCCTTACAGACACATGGACCTAAATATGACACAATGCCATTCTTCCTTCCACTTATTTCAGTAGTCATTACTGACACCTCTTTTAATGCACTCACATTAGAAGAAGCAGCACGACTAGCAAAAGTGAAATAGTGAAACTAGCAAAAATCTTTAGATAGGGAGGTTTTAAACTTTCACGTCAATTGGAGATGGGGCTTGGCGTGGCTTAAACATCTGATAAGGCCAAATTTGCAGTGATTTTCCTAAACGTAATTCTTTAAATAAAACATCCTTATCGAGTTATCGATAATATTAGTGTCATTATTGTGAGATTGCACAAAAAATTATTCGCGTCTTTTCCCTGCCGTCCCCCTAATATAATGCTTGGACAACCAGAGTTAATATAAATTTCAACGTAAATATAACTATTTAAATCATTGAAAACAAGGAACTCACTTTAAGATTTGGGAGGAATAAATAAATGATGTAGAGAATAGGCAGTAGCGGAGTAAAAATAAGGAAAAATTGAAGTCTTTGCCATCCCTCGAAATCGCGTATGCAGAACATATTTCCGTAGAAAATGTTCTCTAGTTGATGTTGACAATTTGAGTGAGCCACAAACTAGAAAATGTAGACAAATGTTCCATATGATAATTGAAGTAAGTACTAATCTTCGTAAGCCTCATAACGAATCTAATAATTCAAAAATTTTGAATACTAAAACATACTCAAATAATTATACAAGGATTGTTTTCGTTCATGGAAGCGGTTGGGTAAATTTTGACAAATAGTGAAGACGTCCCAAAAATAGGTTAAGTTCATTGTTACTATATATATATATAGTTAATCTTGATGAAAAGAGAATGAGTTTCATTATTATTTCTGAAATAGTTACTTTAAAATTAATGCAAAGTTTTCTTCGTTGCGTTCCTAGTCTGTTCAACTATTTAGGCAGATACATTTTTCTTTGTCATGCCATTTGCTGTTACGAGTAATTGCCAACAATCATCACAATTAAAAGCCATCTTCTTTATTGAAACTGGCCACGTTTTAGAACAAATTAAACATTATTATGAGACTAAAAAGATCAATTAAATATATCCCCAAAACGCCTTGCTTTTTAAAACGTTCTGCCAAAAATGTTGACATTATAATGAATAAGATACCAAATGTGGAAATGCCAAAAATAATTAACGGTGCTACACAATTGAATTTCCGCTACTTTTTTCTCGATTTGAACAAATGAACGAAATAATTTATCCATATTGACAAATGAACTCCATTCCACTAAAGATTAGACATATGCTGCCAAGGAGTCTTAGGTAATAAACAAGGTCTGCTTGAAGCCGTTTCTGCAATTACTTTAGCATTTTTTCTTCAAATTTCTTGGAATTGCTCAGAAATAGTCAGATCGACACCTTTAAAATCTGTGCGATTGCAAACACAAAAATTGATTATTTTTAAAAAAGATCTAAGGAGAGGATAATTAAATGAAACGTACCAACTCAGAGAGTCAATGTTTTTGATTTGCACTTTAATGCTAATAATGGTTAATTTTGAATGTGTGGTACTACTATATGTCAATTCGTGCGTCTGTTACACCTCTCTATTACATATCTCTTGACACTTATCTCTGTCCTAATCGTCAAAATAACAGCTTGTATTAAATCAGCAGCCTCTCAAGAGCACTTTATTCGTTCTTTTTCACAATAGCAATACTTAGAGGACTGGCCAACTCACCCTGTCCTCTTGCACTTCGATGATTTTTGTTTATTTCACCACTGTCTATCATAAATCTCAATTTTGTTTTCCTGCTTGGAAAAGGCTGTAGCCTACACTTCAGTCTCCTTGATAATTGAATTTTAAGGAGGATCCACTCAGTCATATTACGAAAGTGATTTTCCTGGTATTAGTGCTGCTTTAAGTGCTCGGCGTGTTTTTTTATAACCGCATAGTACATGAAATGGGCAGCATCGATGTTTTCTATATGAGATTTTAAAAAATTAAATGGAGTTTTATTTAAACCTTATAGTAATTTTAGTTTGAAAGCGTGACAATTTGTCCTAGAGAAGTGCCTCCTCCTATATAACATACAAAAATGTCAAACGTAGTCAGTCTTCGAGATGGATAAAAATTTACATAATTATTAAACACACAGAAAAGTATTGGAAAATATGTTTTTGAAATATCTTATTTGCAGGGATTTTTCCTCATTTGAATGAATGCTCAGTTTATATATTTCGATAGGACCGCGAGGCAGTTCCTTGTGTTTCGAGGACTCCTAATCTAATACTCAATTTTCATCGTTCCTAACTGTAGAAGTTCGGATAATATAATAAAGACGCATATGATACTATTTCCATGAAGGCTTCATAAGCCCCTCACTGTTTATGATTAGAATTGGAATGCTCTTTTCAAAATAGCTGGAAAATTATTATTAAGGCCTTCCCTTTGGCATTCGAAGTGGAAAAATCAGGGCAGATAAAGTGATTACATTAAGGGAATTCCTCTTTCAAAACAGTAACGAGGCTGCAAGAAATACCTTTCTAATTTTCGTAGTCATCCTTTGTCCCACAGACATTATCCTTATTAGATGTTATAAAACAAGTGTTATCATTTCTATTAAAAATGTAAAGAAAATCAAATAATCTGCTTATCCTATAATAAATATATTTTATTAGATATTGAACCAAAACTCCGTCAGAACATCTCTCATGTTCTTAAATATCTTAAGTCAAGAACTATTTAAAGAATATTGATCATAACGGAAGATCAGAATAGTCTTATAATTTATCGAACTAACCTGTTTAACCTTACGCCTTCCCCGCTATTCTCCTCTCCATCATATGCATCTTGGAAGCTGATGCACATTGTATTATTCCAAAAAAAGCTGAGAGAGAGAGGGTAACACCCAACCCAAGCCTGAAATATTTCTATAATTTCTAGGATAGCATGACTGGCTCGGATCCTATTTTTGCTTGTGATATGACGGTGTCAATATGTGCTCTTCGGTTACATTGTATAGCCTGGGGTATTATTGCTTCCTAAATCTGGCTCATCCTATTTAATCTTAGCTGCACTGTACAACACTATCCCTTCCACTCTAATAGCTATTGACTGAAAATCTAAACTGAAATGGTAATTTCCAGTGTCGTTTTATTGATTTTTGTGTAAAGATATGTCAAGACTAAAATAATGGTGGGCAAGCATTCACAGCAGTATTCAGAGTAAGGACTACCTGTTTCCTTTAATTAAAATTTTCGTCTTTTATTTATGCTTCTTTGCCGATAATAAAGTAGTAAAGGCTTTATTTCCAGAAATGAGTACAAAAATTAATTACCGAGATATCGAGTGTCCAAGTCATGATTTTAGTAAAAATGCTAGAAGTAGAAAATACTTAAAACTGACTAATAATGCGAATTCTTTATAACATTATCTTTAAAAGCCTGGCATGGAAAGTGTTGAAGGGACTAAAACCAGTCAGTTTTCGGATTAAGTGGCATTGTACCAGCAGTAACATTGATTTACATTTGTAGTTAACAGTAATGGTCTAACCAACCACCTGTATTTCCTTCCTAACTGGATTCACTAGTCTTTTATCATTAGAATCGAACTCGACTGAGTACTAAAATGACTACGAGTGTTTAGATGGCACCGTTAAATGAGTTGGTTGTAATGTAATGCAGGAATCCTTTCGATTACCCCGTTTCGAACCCTTTATATGGAACGTTTACCGAATCGTTTATCATAAAATAGATCCACTACAGAAATTTCCAGCTCATAATTAGCGGGAGAGCTTTCTATCTATCCCCATCTCTTATGAAAATATACCGCAATCAGAAAACAAATTAGAGCCTGTGATCGTACTTTGCCAAAGGAAATTCAATAGAGTATACCTTCTTTTCACGGCACTGAACGGCATGTTTGATCGTGGCAAGATGATGTTGAGTGTCACCATCAGGAATGATATCATTTGCGGTTAGAAGGGAATGAACTTCATCAGAAGTTCGGCAGAGATCCAAACAACTCACGGCAAAGTTCATTGATTGAACAGCAAGGCGGGAGTATTCCTCCTGGAAAAGTTAGTAATATTCAGACATGTCAGCGAAGCTTATATTTCAACCAACGATTCAACTTATCTGTTTGTTGGGTGAATTTTTTAGTCTAAACAATACAAAACAATTTTAATTATTTTGGTTCTAAATGAGTCATGGCGAGGCACGAATAACTATTAACACGAAAAATTTGATTTATGGGTGTGCTGCATGAATTAGAAATGAATTGAACGAATGATAAATGTTAGAGAGTAGGCAGGACCTGAATATCGTTTGGTAGAGGAAAGTCAGCAGTGCATCCGCGTTTGACAATTAGACGAAATGCTAGAGAATGAGTGGCAAAATGTTAAATGTGTTGTGTATCTCAGATTGCAAAATGTTATCCTTAAACAAAGGGGATATATTAGGGCCGCTGACAAACTAAAATAATGTCGGATTTGCAATGTAGGAATTAAGAGTTGATGCAAGCATCTGAATTCAATTAATTAGGATATTAACATGAGTTTGGATTGGAGGCAATGACTGAAACATATCGGCAACTACACACATGCTTCAAGAGACTCCGAAGAGGACGCAAGTAGTCTCGATCATACTGTATATTATCAAGTAGTCAGGCTTGATACACATTTGAGAAGTTTACCATGTGGCATGATACAGATAGTTCGGATACTACGTTAACTAAAGGTTGATTGGAAATAACTCTCAGCAGTCGTCTTAATCTTTAAACGCCCAAAGATACACGTTAGGGCCCAGAAATACTGTTAAAATCAAAGATCATGACTGGATAAATTGCAAACTTTAACTAAAAATACTTTTCCGAACTCCGAATTTGAAGATTTGATGATATTTAAGTGAATTTTATTCCACAAATCTATTTTTAACCTTAAAATAGACCACACAAATGAAATGACGATGACTAGAAAATCGTTGCATGAAGCCTAAATCATTTTTTCATATAGTTAACAAATGATATCCCTTTCTAATATCTTTTTAATGGCACAACATATCGGTGAAAGATTTTAATTCATACTTGACTATTTCAGTATGCTATCTTTCAATAATGGTTACCGATGCGTGACGATCCAATCCGCTCACATATTTCGAGTTTATTTATGAAAAACGTTGTACGGTTTTAAATCTTGAAATTCTATAAGAATTAAGGGAAATATGAATTATCATCAAACTAAATATACTCTTAATAATAACTCTACCCTAATAAATTATTTCTTTAGGTCACACCTATTAGACTATATATAATATTATGAATTCTATAATGCCCAAATAGAATGATTTCAAGCCGAGAAAAGGTAAGTGAAGGTCTGTGATTATTTTAGATTTTAGAAGAAATTGCTTAGATTTGTTCCTCTTACAGGAGTATTTAAGGAGTCTATTTAATTGGGGCTATCAAACTCGCGTTAATAGCTGCAATCATATCTATTTTAAAACCAAAGAACTGGCAAAAAATAATAGATACTATATAAATGTTTCTTTCGAAAGTATTTTGGTCTACATTCAATAAGTAAAAAAACTTGCTTTGAAACTTTTGGTTGTAAAATTATACATCCATTTACCCGTGAACTGGGGTCGAGCATCGCATGCTTACCTGAGGTAGTTCGTGTTAACTCTTGAGATAATAGTGGCGACCCTACTTAATCTCGTTCACAGCCTCACTAAAAGATCTCTCCTCTCTTCCGAAATTGCAGATAAATTGAATCGGTTGTAAAATATACGCCCAAGAACGCATAATGCGATACAAACCACTGACTTTGCAAAATTACACCATTTTAAAATTACATCTAAACGTCCTGAAGGCTAAGCTCTACCAGTAAAGTCATAAATCCCCTAAGGAGAGCGAGTGTTGGAAATCTCGTTCTTTAAAGTTGACTTGTTATATATATATATATATAAAGAACGCTTAAACTGAGTTTGGTTATGTGGTATGTGCTTTCAGTCTAAATACATTTCTTGATTGTTAATCCGTTATTAAATGAATTATTGTCAGAATAGCCGAATATAACTTTCGTCATTGAACTAGTTAAATTTATAAACAGGGTTTTTAGTTCATATTGGGAAGAAACAAGCGACTCTTCATGATCAATGTTTAAATAAATCAAAAAAAAATAATTAGAGCATTAGGGTTTTGCACAATTCTTGAACAATTGATTTTGAGTAATTTCTATTATAACTTGCCCTCAAGCCGATTAGTTACCAAATTTCTAAATCAGTAAAATATATATTTAAATTCGTAGAAATAAATCTTCCACTGACTTTGAACTGCTTCTCTTGAGAAGCAAGTTGGTAGAGTTCTCCACGAAGAGTGAATGCAGAAGAGACGGGATCGGATGTAGTTAAGGCCAAGTAGGCTGAGCTTGTGAGAGCTTGGTAGGTGTGAAGTCGTTGCATTTCCAATATTAGAGAGTCCTATAACGTTAACAAGTGTGGAAAGCCAAAAATGGCTAATAAGGGAACGTTACATGAAATGAATGCAATTGTTTTACTTGCCTTATGTATATTATATTTAGCAAACGCTTAGAGCTAAATTGAGAATTTCAAAAGAGACACCTAACTAATAATATTAGCTCTTAACAAAAAGCTATTTCTATGAAAATATTAAGTATTATTATATATTGCAATCCTTAATTTCGATTCTTACCTAATTTCCTACATATATGAACTTCACCTCTGGGGAGAAATTAATTGGATAAAATTAAATGCATTTTTTTCAAAGTGAAATGAAGATATAAGAAGTTTATAAAAATTCGTCAGTTCAAATCAGAAAACCAGATGAAACAGTTCAATTAATGTTCAAATTCAGATTCATTATTACCTCTCTAAATTCATCACTCAATTTTTTTTACCTCAATAAAAAATTATACTTTGTTTTCACTTCTATTTGTAATCCAATGAAATAAAAGACGCACTAGATGTGGTAATTAATTTATTTAGCAAAAATAAAAAATATGCTTGTAGGAAAAAAGGAACTTTGTCTGCTGGATGATAAGAAGAAAGGAGTAAAAAATCAAAACTTATTTTGTTTTTTTAAGTATTTACAACAAATCACGAATCATATTTAAACATATTGTTTACAGGTTGGTAACACAACTGTTAGTTTGTTGGCCAAATGAACGTTTTGTGATGATACAAATTTCAGGAAGGCCGCACCAGTAACCCTGGATAAGGAAACCTCAGGTCATAAATAAAATAAATCAAAGACCGCTCCAAATAAAAATATCGATGTGCTTATGAACAAATTTCAAATGGAAATATAAAATCAAACATTAAAACACTTACATAAATTAAGTAAAATGATATATAAATTTTGCCGTCAAGAGAAGTCGTTGGAACACAAAGCAATAATTCTCTGTTCCTTGAGTTTACTGCTGTTTGGTACAGCCACGAGCCATTAACCAAATTTATCAATTTTGACGTTTGATAAATTGCTCAATGCGTCACTTGGAGTTGGTATACAACTTCATTTTGATTGAATCCCCTCAAGCAAGCTTTTGCTTCAACTCAGGGGAAGAAACGTGAATTCAAATCTTAAAGTAGGCTGTGATGGTACTAATTAACATCTTGATACTGAATAATTTCACATGCTTATCACAATGAAAAATAATAATTTTTAAATAATGTGGACAGTAATGCTAAGTTGACTGTATGATCAGTCAATAGGATATTTTATCTCAGAGTATCTGAGATGAAAATATTTTGTACATTTTGATGGCGAAGAAATGTGGTTCGAAGTCATATCTCAAACCTAGACAAAAAGAGCTAAAACAGATGTAAATTTCCATAAATTGTCTCAAATTTCTTTTTCAATAAACTTTGATTTTGTTTCAACTGCAACATAAATATAACTTTAAACTGTCGATTTAAGAGAGCCGATTCCAGATGGCACGATTTCCAAGCTCATCAAAATATATTCTGGAATTATGTTTTTCCCATGCTCATTGAAAGCTGTCCCTATAACATTAATATCAGATGGAAGAATGCATAATCATTGGAGCTCCATATGACTTAAGGGTCTTGATTTTGAAGCCAGGTAATAAATTAAACAATGAAAAATCAAATGAATTGCTCATTGGATTAATTACTAATGATCATATAAAATAACTGTTCCTTTTGCTGTACTTCACTTACAATAGCTATTAAAGCAGGCCAATGAATAAAAGCTACAGTATCGTCGTTGTGATTGCTGTGAGGATAAGCTAATGACTCGGGGTAGTATGAGAAAGCCACATTTATTCATCCATTTATTGATTTAATTGATATTATACGTAGTTTTGAAAATACAAAACTCAATACATTTTATTGACATTTCAGTGGAGGTAACTTCATTTGCGTCATCAACCTTAGTAAAGGAAGCATTCTTATGAAGAATATAACAAGTAGCCAGCTATTATTTTGAAAGTATTAAATTAAATTTGTATTTTTTGTTTAAAATGTCGTATCGTATATAACTTATAAAACTGATACCCATATGTTTATCTTAGAGATTAATATATATAGGAGAGTTTGAAATATATACAATATTAACGTTTTAAAACTTGGAAGAATAAAGCTGATATCTATAGGAAATAACAATTTCAGGAAGGAGAATTTATTACTGCGGAAGCTAATAGAATTCATAGATCGCAGAAATAAATAGACTATAAAAATCTCATTTACTGCTAAAACGCAAATATTGATATTCTGTAAAATATCCTTGTTCAAACGAGATTTCATATGTGAATATGTGCAGATCATAAGTTAGTATGAAATGAACAAAACTCTTGATGATTAACCATTAGTTTATAACTTGAATTTAACGGCCAAAAACATGGATTCTCACATTTTTATAATTATTTTTTTGAAAAAAATATAAATGTTTAGCTATTTAAATTGTGAATTCAAGTTTTATTAAAATTTGGCTCACTTGGGCTCTAATGGATTCACAATCTAGGCACATACAACTTCTGTCATGAGGCATTTCAAGAGTCAATCCTCGATCAAGCAGTAGTTGAATAATCTCATGATTATTTGTATGGGCGGCCAACATCAGGGGTGTAATATCAGCTGAAAATTGAGATCGATCGATAGCCTTTCCAATCAGTCCAGCTCTGCGTCCTCTTGGGGCCATAATCTTTTCCATTCGTATGTATTGAGGATGGTCGATTATCAGCTTGACTATATGGATCTTCTCCTGGCTAATTGCATTTAGAAGAGCATCTTCGACAGCGTAGAAGTTGAGCTTCCCTACCAGAGCATCAATCAATTCAATGTTCTCAGTCTTCATGGCTAGAAGCACTGCATTCCGTCCCATATAATCCACACAGTCAACGTTTAAAGTTGGATCATTTAGCAACTCCTTGACTATCTCAACTTCCCCAAATTCAGCTGCATTGAGAAAAACGTACTCTGTGTCTTGAAGTTGGCTTTTAAAAACTAGTCCATTCTCAGAAGCAAGTTTCAAACCAGCAACAGTGTCCTTCTTCGCTTTTCCCATTTGTACCGTAAATCCCCTTTGATCACTAATAATTGGAGCCAGCGATGAGTTGACCTTAGTTCTCTTCCTCAGCTTTCCTTTTGAACTTTTACCGCTAACACTGGTCATCATTTCTGAGATGCTACAAGTTCGTGCTGTACCTGAATTTCCGCCCCCATCAGCATTCTCACTAATTGAAAGACTAGCGAATAGAACACGCGTAGCCGATGTGGACAGAAGAACACCAGTAGCAACACTTTTGGGCAACTTTCCGCAAGCTCGTTTAATTCGTTTGTTAACTAAATCAGTTGTTATGCGCGTAGATTCATCCACAATTTGTTCATTTCCAGTCCCAGCTATCTCGGTGACTGTATAAGCCTCACAATCGTCCTCCCCCTCGGCTGTAGCGATCCGTGTGTGGGTGTCAGAGGGGGTGAGAGAAAAGACAGGATTGTCTTTTGAACCAATGAAACTCTCCATAGTTCTCTTGCTGTCACCTATATTATCTGACACGTTAATCCGGGTTGATGTATAAGGTAGTTCGTTCAATGAATGCAAATCTGACTGGTGAGTTGATGGATCTGATGAGTCACCATCATTAATCCTTGTCTTGCGCTGCATACTCTCGTGTTTCACCTTTCCTGGCAAGCTTGTTAGTTGACTTTTGGCATCTAAAGGTTCGGTGCTGGACTGTTCAGAAGCACATAGGGGTTCTGTACTGGCACTAGCAGGTGAAAGGCGCCTAAAAATTCTAGGCATTTTGTGATATGGTCACGCGTAGTAGTGTGAGGTTGGTGAGACGGTTAGAGAGAGAGAGATGGGAAGGGAGTTATTGCTTCAACACACTCGCTAACATATCGAAAACTCAAGTGACCAATGGCCCTAGAGCAAAGGGTAAATGACCAACCGGCGTTCCTTGCCTTTGTTCATCACGCTTCCACAAGTAAATTCGCTAATTACTGCAGAGTTTTCGTTGGCTTACTAGTAAATTGACGTGAGGGTGCTTGTTTCTTACTGTTTCTGCATCACCTTCAAAATCATTTTCATATGTTACGGTTTTCATTATTTAGTTTTAGACATTTTTTAAAATACCATAACAATTTACGCTTCATGAAAATTTATAGAAACCTGGTACTTTATTCAAAAATTTAATAATATTTTCAATTATTTGGTGTTAGATATATTTCTTCGAGATAACGATTTATATTATCTATAAAATCAAAACCAAAGCTGTCCCAGTTAGACAGTATAGACCTATAAAATTGCCTCATTGAGATTTCTGAATTTCGGCAAAAAACAATTCCTTGTATAGATCTTACTGTTAACGTCCTTCTGGATTATGTGATGATGGTGATTATAAAAAAGCAATTTTCCTTAAAAAATGTATTTTAAAATTAAAATTCAGCATAAATCAAAGATTTGAATTTTTTATGTAAACAAAATCAATACATTTACTTGTAGTAATAAATTTTTTAGATTTTTTGATCTTCAGCCTTGTACTCTTATCGTTAATTTCAAAATGAAAATCTTAAATTTTTCGCCTTTTCTACGTTTTTTAATAATATATGGTCTGTGTAGGTTAAAATCCATCAAGTTCTTCAGAATTGGGAATAGTGATTTGATTTCTATTCTTTTAAATAATGAAATAGTTTTGCATCCCTGGAATTTTTGTTTTAACAGGACCACAAAGCAGTAAAACATGATGCGCAATCAAGTCGACTTCGAGAGCATTAAAAAAATGATCGAAAGGCGGATAGCATTTTGACAAAAAATAGTTATGAATGTACTAGACAGACGTCCTACTTGATTCAATGAACAAATTGGGAATTTCATTTTTTATTAGATATTGTACAAATTGAACCCTAAAATCAAATGAAGACCACTTGGCATCTTGATGTTGGTATTATTCTCTCCTTCCTCTCCATTGTTTGCTGGATTTTCTGATAAGAGTTATCGATTGTCTCCTGCAATTAATGGTGACGAACCATTTTCAAATTATTCACAATATTTATAATTTTTAAGACTACAGCGTATCGTTTATTAATAGTAGAATCTCCATGCCAATATTTCTACCATTAAAGAGCAAGACAAAAGTTCACTATGATGCAGCAAAAACTAATTGCCTTTCGATTTGAATCGTTTATAGTTTGTGTGAAAAAATAAAATTATTTTTCTATTCAGAATAAAAAAGCCTTAAATAGAATATTTAGTTCCTATCATACGTGTTCCTTTTATAATTGTGCCTACTCATTTTACAAGTGTTTTTTTAATAAAATTGAATCTCATAATGATAAATTTGCATAATTTTATTATGTGATTTTGCTTGAGGGTTGTTAAAAGTAGGTTTGTACTTCTAACTTGGGAGAGGATTCCCCTCTAATAATCTATTCTACTTCCGTTTCAAATTGTAGAATAGATCTTCTGAATTTTTAAATAACTTCATAAAACCAATAAAGACTTTTGACATTATAAACATGTTAATGTATTTGTACAACTGAACCAGTCTCGAGTGAGCTAAGCTGTCCGATCATTAATGATCACGAAGATAGGATTTTGGTTCTTATTTAAAATTTTGTAAAGCTTAACAATTAATATTTATTTCGAATGGCAGGCGTTTTGTTAGTTATCATTAGCCCTTTAATTGACTTCGGGCTTCACATGGGGAAGGAACATCAAAGTAACAGAAAGTCGAGGGGTGGAGAACGGAAGGGTGATTTACAGATGTAAAATAGACAGACACAAGGCAGAGAAAAGGTAGGATGAGTACCGTAGAAGTGTTAGACCATGGCATACAGTTGGGCCATTGTAGTTTGAAGTCAGAAGTCAACTGCCAGTTAATAGACTTTTTTGCCGTATGAGTATACGTTGCCCATGGTGCACCACGTGGAGGTAAGTCTATCGCACACCCCA